CCCCAAAACCCCAAAACCCCAAAACCCCGTCATTCAAGGATGAACTAAAGTTAAGATGAATTTGAATTGTTTATAATAAATTAATAATTATAACTTACGCTATAATGTCAGACGAAGATTTAAACAATGCAGGTTCAGGTGCTGAAGACAACGAACAAGAAGAGGGACTTACAAAGGAGGAAGAAGCCAAGTGCTGGGAAGCTTTCTCTGCCTTTGATAAAGACTCTAGCGGTTACATTGATGCCAACGAGCTACGTATTGTGTTAGAGATGATGGGGTAGAAAACCACTGAAGAGGAGATTTTCAGAATGATTGCGGAGGCAGACGCCGAGAATACTGGGCGCATAACATACGCCTAGTTCAAACGTGTTATTGCCGAACAGAAAAAGAATCAGAGTCTAACCAACGAGGAGGATACATTAGACGCCTTCGTTGCCATGGGAGGCCAGCCTAATGGAGAAGGGTACATCGACGCAGAGAAACTGATAAGAATTATTAAGAATGAGTTCGAAATGACCATAGATATCGAGAAGCTTATTAATGATATCGACGAGGACGGTTCAGGTAAAATAGAATACGACGAATTCAGAAATCTACTCTCGTCCTCAGACTGATTAAGAGTGAATAGTCCATCCAACTGCTAACAACTGAACATGAATGTTATAGCTTTTAAATATATTTTGAGATAATTATTTTCACACAACTAAAAATCACTTATTGCACTCACACTATTATCCAAACTTCATTAAAAGATTATACTTTATCTGAAATTAATCACGTAAATTATAGATTTATTCATTATATTCAAAATTCCAAACGCTAGTTCTAGATATTAGGATGTCAATAAAGCTGAATTTCAATGTCACATTCAAAACCCCAATTCATGAATTGATTCCAAATGATTTAAGAAATTATGAAGTAGTCCTGGTAGAGCTAATTATCCTCTTTGAAATTGCCCTCTTCATCAAGAAGCAGCGCATTATTGATAATGGTATTAATATGCTGATCTTGTGGCTCTACATCCTTCGAATAGTCCATGCTGTTCTGTGTCTCAAGAAGTTTACTATTTTTGAGTCGAACATCAAAGTCCTAATTCAAGGCTAATCTCTGAGACAATCTATTCATTATCAAGCTTATATCGTTTAGCTTTTGACTCAGATTCTATTCGCCTTGATTGACAAAGAAATTTATGTCTAAATCAATCAATATGCAGTACTCCAAAAGCCAAGATCCATTTACAGCAAACTTGACGCCCTCCTCACTATCATCCTTAAGCATATTCAAAATGGCAAAGCATTAGAGTTCTTTATCAGGCATAATTAAGGCTGAATTATGTTAAAGATTTCTAGTTTTCTGATTGGCTGAGAGCTAGCTGTGCATAGTCATTGGAAGTTTGCTCTAGTATGTGCCAATAAAGTTCTAATCTTATATCTCTTGAGTACCATTCAGCTCTTCATATTATTTAATTGTGGTATCTTATTGAGTCATACTTTGCTGATTTGAGTCCTCTTCCTATTGAGAATGAAGATCCTCAATAATTTGCTACTTGTTTATTTGCAGGTATTACGATTCATAAGGGGAAAAATTTTAGAACTTGTTATTCTTTAACTCATAGGTATTGCTATTAGACTAGGATTAACTCAAGGGGTTATTGAATTTCTCATTTACCCTCCTCATCTCAAATTACTTCTGAGATTAGGTATTGCTTAAGCTGGCGTGATGATTTTTACTAAAGCTGCTCACATATTTGGCATCTCTACCCTAAGATAAGGCAGAATTCATGAGAGCTTCTTCATTGAGATTCATATCTAGTGACTTCAAATTTACTATGCTATTATACCCGTGAGGTTATTGAGACATTCTTCCATTATTCTCGTGAGAGTGTCTCTCTTGACTTTTAAATTTCGAATCTATAGAAAGGTGAGAATTTCTTTCGAGCATTCTATCGACTTCTCTGCCATTAATGATCTCTCTCCCAGAATGTAAAGATCGAATTGACTTTACTGATTGAATGTTTAGCTGCTTAGATTATTCCTTGATTGTACGCTCTGACTCTTAGTTCTCCTCTTCTATGACATGATCTGATATGGTTGATTGCATTGCTTTCTGAGCATCAGTGGGGTGCTTGAAGTTTTCATTTCTGGAGGAATTATGAACGCTTTTATCTTGAGACTTCCTTATCATGTTAGTATTAAGAATATCAGAATCACCTATAGGTTAGCTATCCATCTAAGTCTAGATAAGAGCCCTAACATCAAGATAAGCTTTGGACTTCATCTGATTATTCTAGCGTGATAGATAGTAGTCAACTCCACTTCTGTTGACTTCATTTTAGACTGTATGATGTTATTAACGGTTAGAATGATGGTGTGGATTTACCCCATTACCAATAACTATTTTAGCTTAATTTTGAATCTGTAATGGAATATCAAAAGTCTTAGAAACTGGAGATTAAGGTAACTTCTTTACTTATGCTCTATGACTCTCATAATAATTCTCATCATCATCTGTTTCTTTAATTTTTAAACCATCTTGCTTTGATTTCATAGTCTCATCTAAGAAATCACGCATATTTTACTTCTTATCTATGGTGTCTCCCATCTCTGAGCTGCAACAACTAATAGTTGGTGTATCTTATCTGAAGACTCCTTGTCCAAAATTTTTATCTTAAAATGAGTAAAACTGGTTATTACCATATTTACCCAGCTAATCTTAGTCATTGTTTTACATCTTATTAAGTTGTTGGTTATTATTCGTAGTTTACTCATATATATTCTAAAAGAAACTTTGCTCCATAAACTGGACCATACTTTACTCTAAATTTATTATTTTCTAGTCATACTCTTCAAATTTAATATAAGCCTCATTTTCAAATTGGCATAGTTTGTTATTATTTTCGATTAGTTATGTATTTTACTGCTCCAAATTTTACAACTTTTCCTCTATCTGCTAAATATAGGTAACTATATTTCTGATTTCTCTTTTCATTGCATCTTATAGAAAGCTATTATTATCTTATTTCTATTGCATTCCTAGTTAGTTCTTCGGATCGATACTTTGAAATTCATGCACTCCCTTCAAGCTTGACAAACTAGAAACTTGATTTTGTGATGAGAGCTGTCTATGACTCATTTGCTTCTTAAATCTATCAGTTTAGAGTGGTCCATTCAGTTACTTGTGAGTCTATTTTTATTGCATTTATTGCTACTATTATTAGAGGTATTGAGATTTGTGTGCAGGAGGAGGAGGCAATTCATGCACATTGTTGAACTAGAAGTCAATCATCTGGTTAGCCGCTTGCAGACTGCTGTGGCTGCTTTATTCGTGAATCTTCACTGATGAGTTAGCATTCTGTCTAGCCTTTTTCTTATCTGAGAAATATACCTGACTATCGATTTGTGAGTTATTGCTATTGGAATAGAGAACGTATTATTACTGCTGATTTTGATTCAAAAGATTCTGACTGTTATTGTTATAGATGGTTGACTGGGATTTGTGATGAGAAGTTGGATGCTTCTAACTCTTATTTGATCCCCTTTAACTGAATGGCTGGTTTTACTGATAATTGATGATGACAGAGTTGGGCTTATTTTAAATAGGAGTCTGTCTTTCATAGTATTCATCGCTGTAGAGATTTTGCTTGAGCTGATCACTGTTCTAACTTTCAATGTAGTTGTTCTGAGAAGGTGTAATAAAGCCATTAAACTTATCCATTTGACTTTCTTACTCTTTATTTATAATTATTATTTTAACTATTTATTGTGCTGTTCTATATTTCATTATAAGTCATACATTTATATTCCTGGGGTTTTGGGGTTTTGGGGTTTTGGGG